TGCTCTGTAGTTAGACTCTTATTTGGTTGGAGAGCTACAGCTGTCCCCTTCCCCCCAAAGCTCTAAAATCTTATAGTTGGAAAGGAGTGGAAACAGTATACATCTGTGAAAACCTCATAGACAGGCTAGCAATGTGAAGGGGTATAGAGTTAACCATAGAAACCAGAAGGAAGCAGCCTTTCGGAGAGCAGAAAAAAAGACCTATTTGGTGACTTAAGTCGGCTTGCAGGTGCAGACCCCCAACCCAACGGGAATTTCATGATTTACAGCCTGTTGACATCTCCAGACAGACAGGAAGCCAATGAATTGTATTTAAGTGTGCATTTCGGGACTGGCTGACTATACCTTAGGCAGCTTGAAGTAGTCAAGCCAATATAAGCAGAGATTTGGGGCTTAGTGTGGATGTTCTGTGTTCAGTGGCATAGCTAAGTTTCAGCATTCCCAGATAGAAAAAAGTCTCCAGGGCAAGGCTTTCCATGTGTGACTCTGTTACCAGCTTCATTCAAACTTAGTCTGCTTTGTATAGGACATTAAGTGGAGCCTGCTGTTACTCTAATAACAAATTTCTTGTTTCACTTTGTGAAAAAAGAGAGAAAAGAAAGAAAAAGAAAAGAAAGATTATGCAACCTGTTCCTGAAAGGTGGCATGAGTCCACCTACAATTACAAATGAAATCATATTTTCCAATTGACCTACTTTATACTTTTGAATATGATGTTTTCACTGAGGATTGACTTTTAATTGGCTGTGACTTCTAGCATGTTCAATTCGTCTGGCTTCACTGCCGTTAATGTTATTCTCTTAAGAACATTAAACATAAAATGTTATACCTCGATGGAACTAAGAATTCAAAGAAGTCTAGAGAAATGAAGAAAGGGTTGCCTACTGAAGTTCATCCAGTGAGTTAGTAGCAAAGCAGAATTTATAACTTGTTCTGCTCCACTCCAGCACTGAGATATTTCTGCTATTCCCTAATTCTAGGAAAATCAATATAAGGAAAGCCTGCAGTAAGTTCTTTTGTAAAGAATACAAAAAATATAGACAATAGTAATAATACTACTTTACATCTTAATGATGAAGCTGTTACATTGTTCTTTTATTTTTCAAAAAAATATATTTTGAAAAATAAAAACTTTGGCAAAAGTGCTGCAGCTTCCTGATGGGTCATCAGTTATCAGCAGCAACCTCAGAGGTGGTGCGTGTGTCAGACACTGTACTGGGCATGCAGTGGATACTGTTTTATGCCTTCTGACAATATTAAAACACAGGAGTTACAATTTCCATTTTCCACTGAAATAAAACCGAGGCTCAGAAGTGATGTTTGTCGAGATGCCCCAATATGCCAGACACATTGAAGGTGTTTAATAGCAGTTGGTATCTAACATCTTTCCCCTCCTTCCCTCCACTTGCTACATCAGAATTCTAGGGAAGGCCATTTCCATCTTGACTTTCCTGATGGAAAACACACTCCTAGAGGTTAAGTGATTTGCTAAATCTAAAGAGTAAGTTAATGACACAGCTCAGGTCTACCTCAAGGGGAAAAATGACGCACAGATCTCCATGTGAGTATTGTAGGTGCTTGTCAACAGTAATGAGATGCTGGATTGAGTTCAGTGTAATAAAGGAATATTAGAAAGTAAAAAAAAATTAAAATACATTTATTTTAGTTTTAGATTGGGTTCTCTAAAAGAACATTTTTTGGGAAAAGCATTTATATACATTTAATATTGGTAAGTTTTGTTAAAGTGATCATGCATTTAAAGACCCAAACAATGAAACCAAATACGTATTTGGAACCTGAAGTCATTGCTTTGTGAGAATACAGGAAATTGTTTTTTTGTTCAAACGGTAACTGTAGAGTACCTCCTGTTTTCTAGGATCTATGCTATTGTAGTTGCTGGGGATGCTGTGAATCAGACAGGGGTCTCCACAGTTACAGAATTCACAGCCTAGCACATTTTCACTCATGTCCCCTTATATGGCTAACATGTATAAAAGGTTAGAAATATGATAAATGGTGCCTGGATCCTTTAGCCAGTGATTTATGTAACTAAAAATTACTCCATTCAGTAGAGACAGTTCTTGAAACAGCAATTGTTCAATTGAGTTGTGCCAGCTGTTTTTTACTCAATTCTATGTTTTTCAGCTCTCAAAGGTCACCTGACACATAACACCCATCCTTACCATCTAAATACTAAAAAAAAAAATCGAAATAAGAGTGGTAGATGGAACATCGAATACCACCTTTATTACTAAGAAGATCCAGATCAGCAGACATGCTTATCGTCTTTACGTGAACTCCAGAATTAGAGCAATTAACTACCGAATTACAAGCAAAGATGAGTCAGGGTGGGGGTTCCTATAGAGACCTCCCTGTGAGCAGTTTCTTTCCTAGAAGAAGAGTAAACTAAATCAAACATGCTCAGTTTATTCTTAGATGTACTGATTTGATAAATCCTTTTATTTTGTTGGAGATGAGTGCGTAATGAAAGAGAGGCACCAGAAATTAAACTAACTGAGCACCCTAGACAAGAGCAAAACATCAAGATTGGGGGCCGGCCGAGTGGCGCGATGGTTAAGAACTCGCTTGGGATGCCAGAGGGCCCCGGTTCGGATCCCACATATGAGGGCCAGTGACGCTGCCCTCCGCAGCTAAGATGCTGAACAACAGCTCCACCTGGAGCTGGGCTGCCGTGAGGCGACGGCGTGGGCTGCAGTCCCTGTGGCAGTGGATTGCCATGGGCTACCGTGTGTGGCCAGCAGCCAGCGTG